ATATGCCCAAGGTTTTGGCCTAGTACATATCTGATGTGAGACTTGACATTCACTTATGGCATGTTAAGCATGTTTCCCATGAAGCATGCTTATTTAGCTTCATCTCAGAAATTCAAACTCCAGCTAAAGAATTTTGGTCCTCTCCCCTAAAAAGAGACAGCCTGCCATTCCACTCTTGATGATAAAGGCTTGTGTATCAAAGTCAAACAGACTCATGATAAGAAGTGTCCCCACATCCCATAATCATTTGCTTTCTTATGCAAAACGAAATTCTTTTTAGTTTTTAACTTCTGATAATGTAACTTTAAAGTACAAGTATCATATGACCATATCTTAAATCTGTTTAGCTGGTCAAACTTCATAATCATTTCTAAGATTTCTAAAGTTTCCATGGTAATAGAAGCAATACCTTCAGTTCATCAGCCTCGCCTTCAAGCATGCTTCCATAACTACGATGGATTTGGAATGACTGGTCAATCTGCAGGAATAGTTGCCACTTCATCATGCTTATAGGGCCAACCTCCAGATTAAGTGGCAATTCTGTCACTGATTCATTGATTGCAATAAACTTATCTCTAAGTAACCAAAATTCATTAAAGAAAATGGTTGGGTAGTAATTTCCTGTACTAGGCTCAATATTGAAGTCTGCAAATCTGAAGTCAAGAAAATCAAAGCTATGTATCTGCAGCTCTAACACATTAACAGTAGCCACCAAAGGTAACAATCGGATCACCAAATATTGGTCCAACTCAACAAACATAATACCCAGCAAGGTCATTTCGAATCAAAAAAATAAAAGCTACCTAGAATCTGTCTAGAAGAATGCAGATCTTTGACAGTAAGCAAGTTTAGGCCATACACTGCAACCATCTAAACTGATCTCCAACAAATTATGGTTAAAATTTTATTGGATCAATATGCTAACAATTGATCATTTTGGCACAACAATATACCAAAACAAAGAAAATAACAGTTCTTAAACATAGAACCTTAATCAGTCAGAGTGGAGAAAAAAATTCATATAGCCAAACCTCAACTGCATTGGGAATTGGGATAAAGACACAGTAGAGTTGAGATGCGCTAAATTAGTTCTCAAGCATAGAAATGTTATTATGTGCAGAAAAAACAATAAAATTTAATATTCTGGTTGATGATTGCTAATAAAAGATGCTATACACCAAAATAGCTTCAAAACTTCGATTCTTTTTACTCTGAGCTTCCTTCCTAGGTTAACCCCAATATGATTTGTATTTAAACTAATGTATGATGAGAATGGCTGAGCTTGTCTTCACTATTTACTATCAAATTTATGATGAGAATTCCTGAGCTGGTAGTCACCAAGTTACTATCTATCTAAAGTATGACAAGACTGTCTGAGCTGAACTATAATCTAGCTATGGTAAAAATATTGGTAAAATAATACTTTAATCTCACTTAAATACATAAAAGTCAGAAACTACTAGCCGCCCACTTTTTCTATGCTTGCTCTCGTTTCCTATCTGCATGATACTTGTTCCTTAGAATAAATAGTATTTCTTTTCTATTTTGACCCTTTTTTATCAAGTTCTTATTTTTAAGCACCCAAATGTGCAATGTGCAAAAGGCTAGTGATATAAAAGAAGCATTTCACCTAGTTGCACAGTGAGCTAGTTGTTTCATGTCCTTAAAATAGTTACCCGCTATATCAAGGGATGCTAGTCAGACAAAAATGTACATCCCTTTCTGCATGAGCTTGTGCATGCAAACAATTTAAGCATGAATCATAAACGATAATGTAGTCAGTAGTTGCAAAACCAAATTTTAACAGTGAAATATAAGCCATAACAGAAGAGAAGTTATTTGAAATTAAATTTGGATAACAAAACAATTATGAAATACCATACACCACTTTACTTGGATGCCCTAAGACCAAATTTTGACCAAATTTCTACATCCAAAACTGGACTCAGTTAAAAGTAAAGGATGTCCCTGGATCCAAATCATACCATTTAAATTTTCTTTAAGAACAAAATAAGCACTAATAAGAGTCAACCAGTAAAGTGCAAAATTATATAGGATGAAATAGCCATTAATTGAGACATAGAATGACAAAAAGTAAGGAACATAAGGATACACGGAGCAACATTTGGCGGTACAGCATTATGTCCATATCTGGAAAAGAAAAAAGGCCAAAAAATTAGCTTATTTTCCAAAAAAAAAGTGACATAAATCATGCCACAAAGTAAGGATAACAACACAAATCATATTGTTGACAGAATATTACAGAAACATGACATTAAGCAGAAACATACCGTGTGAAATCTTCAACCAAGTTAATTGTGATATTTGGTTTCCAATAAGCAACCCACTCAACAGGGCCATCATCTTTAGAGTCAGCTTCAGCATCATCAGCCACCTGAAGCAACATGATTCCACACTAGATCATTATATGGTTGCAAAAATTAAACAGAAATGGAACCACAGACAAGAATAGAAATACATTAAATGCTATCATGAGGAATGTCGAACAAAAGTCAAACATAAAAGAACACCAAAAACCCTTCAATGAAATAAGTTATACTAGTGAAGAACAAACCATAGCCACTGGTTCAACCCCTTCATCATCTTTGGAGTTCCCGAGAAGACTTCTCCTCTTATCTGATCTTGACTTGGGCAAATATGTCACAACAGCTGAAATCAATTAAAAGGAAGTTCCTTGATCACCATTAATCTCGAGCAAAGGGAAAAGAATCTATTGACAGACAGGGAGACTTACAGTATGTCCTCCCAAAGGCAGATTGAGGCTGGTATTCAGGGTCATTTGGATCTACAGGGTAACCCAAGCGTGCAAAGAAAACGTGGGCATAGAGACTGCCATTGTTTTTCAAGGCCTGAAAGATTAACACATCCTTATCTTCATGTTTTCTAAGAGAGAGAGAGAGAGAGGGCAACAACCAATTGCAAGCAAATAATTCCAAATACCTCAGAAGGATGGTACTTCAAAGAAAGAGTACGGGTGCTTTCAGGACCCCAAGTGGCGTAAGGAATATTGGTTTCATGCCATACAAGAGAAGCTTCGTTCCCAAAGTCGTTGAATTTTTCGTGCTCAGACAGATATAACCACATATCCTGAAAACAGACCAACAAAATGATGGAACAAGGAAACTAGGGAAAGAGGAAATCCATGTTTGATTTAGTTTGATCCGCTTTACGAATTTCGTTGGAAACCAACATACCAGGGGCTCGCCCTTCTGGAAGAGATTGGAGATGAGGTGAGAAGGGTCGGCGGGCTTCTTTGGGGAGAAGAATTTGGAAGCGAAGTACCAAAAGACGGCGATCCTTATGATTCCAGTTATGGTCTGTCCAAATCCACCTTGCTGTTGCTGCTGCCGCGGTTGCTGTTCCCCTCTTCCTCCGGCCGCTGCTGCTGCTGCTACTGCTGCTGGCGGCGCCATCTTCTTCTTAACTTGTCTCTCTCTCAGATGGGGTTTCTGAGAGCTTCAAGACAGAACACAAAAAGAAAAAGAAGGCTGTTGCTTTGCAGGCGAAACTAAAACAACACAAAGGCTACAAGTGGGAGAGAGAGAGAGAGAAAGATATTTTTGTTTATCTTATCGAAGGAAAAGGTTGTAACTATCCAACAAAGTAGCTGAGCTTGGGGCATCTTAAACTACAGTACAGTTGCCTCCTGCCCCTTGCCCCTTTGCTTCAGCCTCTTGCCCCTTTGCTTCAGCCTCTTGCCCATTAAGCTAGGCCTTCTGCAATTTCCATTGTCCAATTCCCAAAGTCCACCTCTTTTTTTCCTTATAATTCCTCAAATTCCCATTTTCTATCCATCCACATTCAAGATTCAGATTCTTTCTTATTTACAACTTTTTACTATAATTTTTTTCAGAGATAATTCAACAAATAACATTCAATTTGAAATTAAAAAAAGGTATTATTTTGTTATTAGATATTAACAAAATTTTAAAAGTTTCAAATAAGATTGAATTAATAATTTGATTTCATACTAATTTTTGATACATTTTTTCAATAATTGTAAACACGTTTGTAAATGTATCTATATGTAAATATTTAAATATGTTTATACAAAAATTAAACTCATTTGTCGTTGTTACATCTCTTTTAAGCTTTGGCAATGGTTTCTGAAGAGGAAGAATAAATGTACCCTTTTTATTAGTTTCAACTAAATTTAATTAAAATAGTTTGTATTTAAGTGGGATTAAACTTTTTTCTTAATACATTTGAAGGATGGTTTGGTTTTGTGGCATCTTGAGTTCCCTTCAGAAATACAATTCGCTTCATATGCTTGAGCCAAATTAATAATAATAAAAATAAAAGTGAATTGAGTTTCTTTGATGTTTAGTGTACCATAACCTATTAAGGAGAAAAAATAATTTTTTATAAGAGAATAACATGTTTTTAAATTGATATAATATTTTTAAATTTTTTAAATTATTTAATAAATTTTAAATATTTTTTTATTAAATTTAATCAAATTTTTATATATATTTTGAATTAAATATATTTTTATAATTAATAATTAATTAATTATTATTAATTAAAATATTATTTATTATTTTATATCTATATGACAAGATGGTAAAAATGTTATATAATTATATTATCATGTTACATTAATATGTCAATATGTCATGAAATACAAAATAATAAATAATATTTTAATTAAATTTAAATAAAAATATAAAAATTTAATTAAACAAAAATAAAAAATAAAAATTATTTAAATTTTTTTGAATAGTTAATAAATTCTTTTAAGTATTATATTTTTTAAAATTTTATTTAACTACCAGACTTACAAAATTTGGGTACAGTTAATTCTTATATTATTAATCAACCATAGTTTAACAATCATAAAAGGTAAATTTGTTACTATTATGTAACATGTTTCGCTTATTAGATTAAATAGAAATATCCTAAAGTTTATATTACATATTATATCAATTATTAGAATATTATAAATAATGATATTTCCTTCCATTAATATTGTCACAAAGAGAATTGCTTGTTAAATCTTCAAATGTGCATAAATTCTATTTTAATTCATTTCAGATGCATGGGCATCGATTGTTGTGAAAGCTAGTATTAGCGGGAATGAGCGCAAACGCGGCCTCCGAATTACCGATAATTGAATTGGCAAAGCAATTTGCGCCGACCAACTTAAACATCTTTTGTTTTCTTTCCGTTTCCATGCACAAGAGATGCTTGGGGAAATGCTTCCGCCAGGGTTAGTGTCCAAAGCTTGGATTAGTATGCTCAATGACTGCACCAGACATGGTAGGCATTGTCAAGCTTTGTCCCTTTTCGTTCAGAAGGTGCGATGTTCATCAAGTTTTGGACTTGACCACCAAGTTCTTGCGGCTATTCTCAAATCCTGCGCTGCCCTTCGGACCACCCTTTTCGGAAGGGCTCTTCACAGTTGTGCGGTGAAACTGGGTCATGTCTCTTGCCACTCTGTGTCCAAAGCCCTGCTTAACATGTATGCTAAATCAGGAGCTCTCGGTGATTGTCAGAAACTGTTTAGTCAAATGGGTACTTCTACTTCTGATCCTGTTGTTTGGAACATTGTCTTATCCGGGTTGTCTGGTTATCGGGAATATAATGATCAAGTTCTTCGTTTGTTTAATTCAATGCCTGTTTCCAATGAAGCAAAGCCCAATCCTGTCACAGTTGCTATTGTCCTTCCTTTGTATGCTCGGTTAGGAGACATAGATGGAGGGAACGTTGTGCACTCTTACGTGATTAAGTCCGGATTGGATGCACATACCCTTGTTGGGAATGCACTAATATCGATGTATGCAAAATGTGGACTAGTAAAAGAAGATGCATATGCTGTTTTCTGTAGCATTAGTGACAAAGATGTTGTTTCGTGGAATGCAATCATTGCAGGTTTTTCTGAGAATAATTTGATGGATGATGCATTTAGATTGTTCAGGAAGATGCTGAAAGGACCAATAGCACCAAATGATTCAACGATTGTGAATATTCTACTTGTTTGTGCTTCTTTAGATAAGAATGTTGCCTGCTACTTGGGGAAGGAGATTCATTGTTTTTTGCAGAGAAGGACCGATATAGGAGCAGATGTTTCAGTCTGCAATGCCTTGATGAGCTACTATTTGAGAGTTGGGCATATGGATAAAGCGGAATTAGTGTTTCAAAAGATGGAATCAAGAGATTTGGTTTCATGGAACGCTATTATTGCTGGATATGTGGCAAATGGTTATTGGTTGAGAGCTTTGGATTTGTTTCTAGAATTACTCTCTGCAAATATGTTTGGGCCAAATTCTGTTACTCTTGTTAGCATTCTTTCTGCTTGTGCACACTTAAAGGACCTGCAGGTTGGAAAAGTGATCCACGGGTATATTCTTCGACATTCTTGCTTATATGCAGATACAGCGGTGGAAAATTCCCTTATTAGTTTCTATGCAAAGTGTCATCATATAGGAGCAGCTTATCAGACATTTTTGATGATTCCTTGGAGAGACTTGGTATCATGGAATTCCATTCTTGATGCCTTTGCAGAGTGTGAATATGATGCTCGGTTTCAGGAACTTTTAAACTTTATGCTTGGGGAAGGACTTAGGCCTGATTTCATCACCTTCTTAGCCATATTACGGTTTTGTGTCTGTGTTTCAAGTCTAGTAAAGGTTAAAGAAACTCATTGCTATTGCCTCAAGGCTGGTTTTTTACAGGGTAATAGTGAACCTGCTGTTATAAATGCAATAATTGATGCATATGCTAAATGTGGTAACATGGGATATGCTTCAAGGATTTTTCATAGTTTTTCAGGGAGGAAGAATTTGGTTACATTCAATTCAATGATCTCAGCTTATGTGAATTCTGGATCATATGATGATGCATTTATGATTTTTAATGGGATGTCTGTGAGGGATCTCACCTCTTGGAATTTGATGGTTCAAGCATGCACTGAAAATGATTGTCCTGGTCTGGCTCTCAGCCTTTTCCATGAGTTACAAGCTCAAGGAATGAAGCCTGATGTAGTGACTATTATGAGCATCCTTCCAGTATGTGCTCAACTGGCCTCTGTTTACATGTTGAGGCAGTGCCATGGTTTTGTGATAAGAGCTTGTTTTCAAGATGCTCACTTAAATGGAGCTCTTTTAGATGTATATGCAAAATGTGGCAGAATATGGAGTGCTCATAAGCTTTTCCAGTCAACTCCTGTTAAGGATCTGGTTATGTTCACTTCTATGATTGGTGGGTATGCCATGCACGGTATGGGTGAGGAAGCACTTAGCCATTTCTCTTATATGCTTGAGTCAGGGGTGAAGCCTGATCATGTTATCATTACTGCCATTTTATCTGCTTGCAGTCATGCTGGCCTTGCAGATGAAGGGTTGAAAATTTTTTATTCACTAGACACTGCTCATGGAATGAAACCAAGCATAGAACATTATGCTTGCATTGTGGACCTTCTAGCTCGAGGAGGTCGAATCAATGATGCATATTCTTTGGTTGCTGGTATGTCTGTTGAAGCTAATGCTACTGTGTGGGGGACATTATTGGGTGCCTGTAGGACTCATCACGAGGTAGAATTGGGCCGTGTTGTGGCAGACCACCTTTTTCAAATTGAAGCTAATAATATTGGGAACTATGTGGTAATGTCAAACCTATATGCGGCAGATGCTAGATGGGATGGTGTCATGGAGGTGAGAAAACTGATGAGAACAAGAGATTTGAGAAAACCGGCAGGATGCAGCTGGATTGAGGTGGAGAAGAGAAATAACGTCTTCATATCTGGAGACTGTTTTCATCCTGAGAGGAAAATTATCTATAGTACATTAAGTACCTTGGATCAACAAATCAAGGAGCCATTTCTATTTGATAAGATCAACATATTCTCTTATGGCATTTAGAGCTTCATAAAAGGTAACTAGAGACTACTTATGGGATGAAACTAAGCATAAAGCAATATGCTTGCATTGTGGATCCTTTAGCTCGAGGAGGTAAAATCCATGCTGCATAATCTTTGGTTATTGGGATGTCTGTTGAAGCTAACGCTAACGTGTGGGGACATCGTTGGTGCCTGTAGGACTGATCATGAGGTGGAATTGGGCCGTGTTGTGGTAGATCACCTTTTTCAAATTGAAGCTAATAATATTGGGAACTATGTGGTAATGTCAAACCTATATACGGCAGATGCTAGATGGGACGGTGTCATGGAGGTGAGAAAACTGATAAGTACGATGCAGCTGGATTGAGGTGGAGAAGAGAAATAACGTCTTCACAGCTGGAGACTGTTGTCATCCTAAGAGGTAAATTATCTATTGTACATTAAGCACCTTGGCTTAACAAATCAAGGAGCGATATCTGTTTGTTAAGATCAACATGTTCAATTATGGCATTTAGAGCTTGTGGCAGATACTAGGTCAGAACTATGTTGTAATGTCAAGCTTATATGTGGCAGATGCTAGATCAGATGGTGACATGGAGTTGAGAAAACTGATGAGAACAAGAGATTTATAAAACCTGCAGGATGCAGCTGGACTGAGGTGGAGAAGAGAAATGACGACTTCATAGCCGGAGACTGTTTTCGTCCTAAGAGAAAAATTATCTATGGTAAATTGAGTACCTGGGATCAACAAATCAAGGAGCGATTTCTGTTTGATAAGATCAACATATTCACTTATTCCATTTAGAGCTTCATAAAGAAGGAAAATGCGACTAAAATGTCAATAATCTTAGATGTTATTGGTAATAATCTTGACAGACTGAATGCCTTTTTTTGTTTTTGCTGGTAAGGGCATTCTACTTACCGGATCAAATCCATTTTACCTCAACTGAATCTAGTCTTAATGGTTGAAGTTGGTGTTCCTCAACTTCGACAGATGTATTAAATAGAAATATCCAAGATTTCAGTCAAGTGTCAGAATTGGTTTTCTGCTTCTGCAGTGATTTAGTTAACTTGAAACAAATTGTTAGAATTTCTATATACTGTTGTTGACTTATGTCCTGTTTTTCATTTTGAAGGTGATTCTGCAATGACCAGGACCAAGACTTGTTTGGAAACTTAATAATTTTTGTTTTTGAAGTTGAATGAGCCCATAAACTGTTTGCAGGCTCTCTCATAGAGGAGATAGTGTCATCTTTGTTGGTAGTGTGAATTAGTAAGTTGAATGCTTCGAGGTTAGATATTGTTTTGATGATCAATAGGCAAGGATTCTGTGTATCTTTTCCACATAAGTTCGGTATATTTTAAGTTAAAATTTCGCAGAATGTAGAGGATGCTAAAGTGGTTTTGCTCAATTGGTTGCAACTTCAGAAATATCAGGTTCCATCATACAGTTTCCATTTTCTTCTCCTCATATGTCACCATATTTGAAGTATGTGTTTTGCATTTGATCTGCATTATGACTTTAGTACAATCTATTTTTCGTGGTCTTCTTGCCTGGATTAACAAACATGTTTCTACATCTCACATCTGAAGTAGTATGAAATTCTGTTGGTACCGAGTATTCTTTTAGGTTTTCGTCAATACTAAAGCTGCAAATGAGCTGACCCAAGAAAAGAAAAATTATTGTTACAGTTTATGCTCAGCTTTGTAAGGGGAGCATAGGGCTTCAATCAAGCGAACTCAAGTTTAGCTCAAAGAAAATCTTGAAAATCAGTTGAGACATCAAAAATATTAAACAAAGTCAAGACTAAATTCTAAGAAAATCAGAAAATTATGGTCTGCCTGTAATGCTGGACTGATTTATTAAACTATTATGCTAGTATAGTTACTATATTCTATTTTATGTTTCTTAAGATAGGAAGCTGTGGCATTATTTGTTTACTATTTTCTTCAGGTTTAAATGTTGACTTTATTAAGTTAGTGCAGATATTCTCAAGTTCTATATATGTTCTTAAGGTAGGCAGTTGTTGGCTTTATTTTGTTCTTATTTTTATTTTCTTTGGGTCTAGATCGTTGGTATTCTGGTAATGGACTCACTTTGGTTTTTAGTTTTAGTTAAGGAGTAGTTTTAAGTCAATTTTGATTGATCGTTTTGCACTTTGGATCTCTACTGCTTGTAATAATACTAGAACTCAATAAAATATTATGGAACTCCTTTAGTTAATAGAGTATCTGTTATGACTACTTCAGTTGTTTTTATTCTTTGCCTTTTATGCTTTCTCTGGGATTCTATGAAGCAACTGTAAGCCTTAACCCTAGGTGTGAAGCTCATATCTTTTCTTCTTCACCAATATCTTCTTTAATTCCACCTCTGTTTCAGATTAAGAACCATCTTTGAATTACTTTTCGTCATGGTTATTCACATATCTGTTATGTAGCATCAACGATACACTCTCTTAACACTTAGAAGGTTTCTCATGCAAATGAAATGCTAAAACATATTGATTACCTATTTCCATAATTCATAATGGCAGGGAGAAGGGAAACATGGTATGATCGACAACAGATTACTCCTTGCTATGTTGAAGAGAGTGTAGCTTTTATGACCCACAGTTCAGGAAATGCATCTAGTTTGCATTTGACCTGCACTCTACTTCTGTTGATATTTTGAAGAGCATTTAGCTTTTATGATCCTTATCATGCATTTGTCATCAGAAATTCAGACATGACATCAAAGACCATTGATGAGGCAAATAGATTTACAAGTTTTATTAGTATAAGTAAAAGGTATGATTAGTTCCTGAAAAAGAAAAGGTAAAATCATACTGTATCATTTGTTCGTGGAGATGTTATTGGAAACAAATCAAGTAATTCTGGTTCCATTTTTGCTGCTCTTGACCGTGGTGATGGATGCAGATAAAAACGTCTGTCTTTGATAGCTTTTTCTTCTTCTTCTGTGTTCAATTGACCTTTTTCTGATTCTTCTCTCTTTTCCTCTTCTAGCAGGGACAGCATGGAGAAAATTGTTGATGGAGTGCCCACGGGACTTGTGAGAAGACTAGAGTTTCCTGATCTTGATGGTGATGTAGCATGTTTAAAACTCAATGGGGGTTTCACTATCTCAAGTTTGGGCCTCATGTATTGCCTTCTTTCATGGAGTTTAGAAGTTGGCCTCTTTAAGCCTGGAACCTTCATAGCTGCACCTTCTTGTACTGCATCACTCTCTGATGGGCCAGTTAACCGCTGCACAACGTCTCGGAAAGTATTTGAGTCTGTTTGCACAAATGTGGTCAAGGGTTTACAACAGGTTGCAGCCTGGGTTGCTGGTTTTTCCATTGGCATTTTATCTCTTCAGACGAAAAAGTGACCTGCAACAAGTTTGCACTTGCAAATTGGTATTTGGTCTCATTTATAGGATATACAATTAGAAAGTAAACATTTGGAGAATGATTTCTTTTAGTTAAAAAGTATGGAACCTTTTTTCTTTTAAAGTGAATACTGATGGAAAACATGTTGGGTATGCTTGCTATTGCCTTTAGATACCTACCTTAACCTGACAGGAGATCTGCTAGGCCAAAAAGTGCCTATATAAAACCCAATCCTTGAAACTAAAGATGATGGTTTATGTTGAGATGAGGACAACTACCACACAGCAAGGAGATGATTGGTGAATGATGAGAAGAAATCTGGAGGATATTGACCAAGTAAATTGCCTCTGAATTTTCCTAAATGCATGTTCTTCAAGTAAGTAGGGAAAGTAAGATATAGTCTGGAGTTGAGTCATCTTGACAATTCTTCACAGGTGATTGGGCAGGTACACTAGGGTCGGTCTCTTTTTGACCCAACTAGCAGAAAAACCTACATTCATCATATTGCACTAGGCACAAAAGTGCATGGTTGGGTTTAATTTTTTTTTTTTAAAATGCTTGTATACTTGATTTTTGTGTTGGGCAATGTATTTTTTATTTTGATTTTATTTATTATCTTTTCCTAATAAATTTAAATACATATTAGCTTACATCTGTCTCTATCAAATAATTCTTAAATTTTTTCTTTTTTTACTTTCAACAAGACTGTTTTTATATAATTATTTGGATTTTTCCACTATACATTCCAAATTTTGTTTTACGTATTTTGTTTTTTTATCGAAAAATTAATGTCTTTTGTTACCCTCACTTATAAAAAAAAAAGGAAAAAAACAAAAGAAATGGTAGAAGACAAAGACAAAGCATACGGCCAAGAATGCAATTTCCACAAATCCACAGCGTTTCACTTGAATCACTAGGTAAAATTGGACACATATATTTTTTTTTATGAATTTAAAATAATTTAAATTTGATATTAACTCGACCATGCCTCTCAATTTATACTATATTATTATATCAAAATGCAGAACCTCAACAGTGCTCATCTCAAACTGTAGACAGGGAAGATGAGAAACAACATAATACCTGATCCTGATCTCAGTTCTGTTTTTCCCTCTGCTTTCTCCAAGGAATATAGCCAAATAGAATCCCATATATATGGTGGATACAGGAAAGGAAAACGAAGGGAGACGTCCAAGGCAAAATTGACTTGTATTCCTAAATTAAACAACACATTATAGCACAAATGATCTGTTTGTACTAATTAGTGTCTAGCACTTTTGAGAATCTTCATCTCCTCCTAATTAAACAAATATACTTAGAATTTTCATCTTTTCCTGGTTAAGCAGATACGTACGCAGTTAAGCATTTGATTCAAAAAGTCGAATTCCAATTTTCTTTCTGTAATTAACAAAACAAAATATATATGCATGACTGTTCGCATATGCGATTCGTTTTATAGAATTTAAATTTTACTGCTGATATAAAAACCGATCACAGCCGAAAACAAGCTGCTAAAAGAAGTTAAGGAAAGAGAAAAGCTTTGAGAGCGTACCTCAAAAGGACCTTTGGGAATCCGTGAGAAGGCAATGACAAGGAAAGACGGTGAATTCAGCTGTGCTCCTCCAATAGGTATATGAATGATAGGCAAATTAAGACGAAGGAGATGAACAAGGAAGACTTAAAAAGAGAAAAAAACAAAAAAAAAAAAAACTGTTGAATGCAGAAAGAAGGAAGAGAAATGGTTACAAGTTACAACTAAAATAAAGCAAAGGTTTCCTGGCCTACACTCAGGAGCCAGTTAGGACAACCAAAAGGCCACATGAAACCCAACCCAAAAACAAAAATAAAGGCATTTTGGTTTTGGAACCGTTGGTTGAGCTATATATATATATATATCATTTTGTTTGTTGGAAAGGGCTAAAAAACAATAATAAAAATAAAAAATAAAAGCTGGCCTTTTTCAGTTACGTACATATTCATATAACTGCCTTTCGAGGCTTTTGCTTATTAAGACTCTGATGTTTATCCTATTAATATCTTGACTGTTGACTGAGCAAAGGAGCGCTCTTGACCCTGCGTGCCAACAGTTTTGTTGAAAGAAACTATGAATATACATGCAAATTTAATGAAGCCTGCGATAACTGTTTTGTTTTCAAAACGAAAGAAATTGTGGAAAGATAGTTCAATCAGCAAACACGGGGATTCCAGAGTGGGCCTAAGATATAAGATATAGGTATACATTTGCAAGATAAAAGATTTTTTAAATATATTTATATCCATAAAATATGATACTAGATATAAGAATTGACACTGTGAATAAGGTAAATTATATTTAAGTTCATAGCACTAAATGTAGGTTAAGGTATTTTAATAAATTTTTAATTTTTAAATATTCTTTTAACAATACGGTTTAATTAAGATAATACTCTTATGATAGATGTCGTTGTATTATAATAATAAGTCACGATAAATCGGATTACAAAAACTAATTCTGTAGTGATATACCGTAGTCAGTAATTAACTTTATAAGTTTCTTTATGTAACGGATTCATCAAAATGGTAATTATTCACTTAATGTGAACAGTGATCTTAAACTAGCTAACCACTAAGTAAGAGGGGAAAAATAACCAAAAGAAAAGAGTTTAGAATAAGAGGGGGATGGACGGCAAGACCACCAATCAACTGCATGAAGGCAGTGAACTAGTAAACAATAAGTCATGCAAAAATTACACATGGAGTGTAATGGAGTTCAAACAAATTAATGGCCTCTTGCAAACAATGAAAAGGACAGAGCCATGATGTTATAGTATTTACAAGGGAGTCTTTGTTTCCAACTCCCAGTAGGGTGTGAAAGGGGTTAGATGTACCTTTCGACAATAAAAATCCATATATACAAATTAAGAGCATAATCATATCGTGTATTTATGCAGAGTCTATCTATCAAATTTGGCGTCCGAATAATCCGGCGTGAGCTGGGATGACCCCAACTCTCATTAATAGGAGATGCTTGACTTGTATTTTCCCCCTTCAACACGTATATATGTTTATTAATTGATAGGGTCGTGGCTCTTGATGGAAAACCATATTTATCTACCATTTTCGCTCAAGAGAAATCAATGTTATTTGCCTTTCTTTCATAAACTATTGCTTCTTAATTTTCTACCTCTCGCGATGGCCTCATCAGAAGATTTTACGTTCCCAAAAATCACCAATCCTATGCCTCTCTTGACGATTTCACCATCGCTATGGCGGGTATCTTCTTTAGTCTATCCAGAATGCGGAGATGATGATGAAGACGATGGTAAAAGACAAGTACCGAGTTTCCAGAGCAAGAGCTTCTCCCACTTAGGAAGCGAAGCGAATAAGATCAGTGCCGGCTATGATGCGGAGAGAATGGACATGCTGTGGGAGGACTTCAACGAAGAACTGAAAAGGGTTTCTTCCTTGCGTAGCAGAAGGAAAGACGGGAGAATAATATCATCGAGGGGTGGAATCAAGTCCAAGGCAGAGCCAGCTAGCAGAGAACCGGCGGCGGTGGAGCTTTGCTACGCTCAGGCCTTGAAGATGTCCCAAACCGGCATAGGCACTGGGATGATTTACCACAAGCGGCAGAGTAACAGCATGTTGGCGGTGATGAAGACCCTGAAGAAGTTCCTTTTTCTTCGCAACTTGGTTTCTATAAAGAACTAGTAGACTTGGTAGCAGCTTTCTTTAGGTGTGTTATAGGCTTAGTGTGCGCCTGACCAAAGATACTTATTTATTAGTTAATGCCTAAGTTGTGGAGTTTTTTTTTTAATTTTATTATTAAGGCATTCACACACGTCTATGTATTAAATATTTTTAATATTTAATAAATAGACATGTGATAACCATATAAACTCATTTATATGATTATGTATAAAATTGAGAATGTCATTTTCTTGTGTGGAGTTGCATCTATTTGTATACATAAAACTATGTAACATATCCTAATTTAGAAATGATGTCATGCATCCCTCAACTATGCTTTTGTATATTATATATATATATATATATATATCTTCGTTTTGATCTTTCTACTTAATGTTTGATCAAAATATTCTTTTTGGTATTCGTATTGATATGAGTATGATCAAAATGATGCTTAATCTAAATTCGTGTCGTGTGGGGTCCATCAAAATTTCGTATCGAGTACACATAGACCCTATACTAAATAAGCGATAATTTCATTATTTTCCATTTAAATACTATTTATTAGATATCACAGGTAAGCGTTGGGGTAGCATCGTACCAAAATAATAGGATGGTAAATGCGGAACCTTTATTTAGTAGAGTGGTAAATTTGACTATTTTCTATTTTATCTTTCATCTCAAGGAAGGAAGTGTTTTTCACTATTGGCCTTAGAACTGCATGGAGTGGGTGTTGCTTGAATAATTATTTGAAGCAATCTCAATTTTAATATATTTTCAAGTTTTTAATAACATATATATATTAAATCGAGTAATTAAGACAGAACAATTGACTGAAGTAATTAAAAACATAATTGAAAATCAACTAAATTATAATTTATAGAAAAATACAATAAAATCGAAATCGAACAATTAATCGGTTGGTTTGATGTTGGAAATCAATTTCTAGCTTTTGTCACAATTGTTTCATTAACTTTTGACTAATTCGGTTGGCACTTTGTTTTGTCAGTCAACTTTTTTTTTTTTTGAGCTTCTTTTTCAGTAAATAGTATTGAATCAAAAACTTGCGATTTCAACATGCAAAGTAGGTTTCCAAAAAAACCTTAAGCCCAAACACGATGCATAAAAATAAAAAACAATTTGAATTCAAATTATGTAAAAAATTGACAACATAAAACGGTAAAAAATACTTATCTGAAAAAGTTGGAGGGAGTTATAGCCTTATAGGGCGTCACTACACAATTACACCTGCATCTGGTTCTCCTGGAATGATTCCAACTATGATCAGCCTAAAGAATTTCAGTAGTCTTTTCCACAGAACAAACAGAAACTAACCTAAACCTTGTAATTAAGTGTTTGTCTGTTAAGAAATGAGTAACCAAGTATGCAGGAAAGCAGCCAAAGCTAGCGTTTTTTTTGGTACAATTGGTTGAGTTGATTAAGCAGAGAGAGAGGCCACATGTTGGCTGCTGCTATTGGCAAGTGAATCGGAGACGACTGACGAGTGATGAGTGACGGGGCGGAGGAGGTGAATTATTGGATGCGTGGACCGTGTGCGGTGTAGGGTGTGACTGAGGGCGGCAGTCAGTGGCACGATAAAGGCAGCTATCGCTGAGGTATTGCCCATAATAATAATAAAAAAATTACTCAGAACACTTAATTTTAGTGGTGGAAGAAGGATTTCAATTTTTGAACCTTATTTCTCTACAAGAGAATTAATAACGTAAATGTAACCGTTAAATCAGCCTTAATTTAATGTTATAGATACCAATTTATATTTTTTCTATTTTTTTTAGTGATAAATAGATTATACTCATTTTATTTAAACTGACACTTGAAAGATAAAAATGGCCTATAAAAGTTAATTATTTGAAAGAAGGGGCGCTAATAACAAACGCTTGTTAAAAGCGAAGAAAACTGCGATGGAGGAAAGTTACTTCTAAAAGAAAAGAGTGTATTACGACTCACAAGTGAGTTGATTTGGTGAGATCGGAGGCGGCGTACGAGGATGGACAAGGAAACCGTCAAGGAATATTTAGAGAATTCGGCCAACATCGATGGCGATGAACTGCCTTTGAGATTCTTCGAACGCCTAATCATGCATGGTCTCCGCGTTGATCTCATTGAAATCGGTCGAGTCATTTGCACTTTCAAGGTCCCCCCTCGTCTGTTGGTACGATTAGCGCCCCCACCCTTTTTTTTTTTTTCCTGTTTCTGTCAAATTCAGGAGATCATTGCTGGTAATTCGGTACTCCCATTTATGAATCAAAAAATTTTAGGGCATTTAAGTTCATAGGAAAACTCAGAAAAACAGGGAGAAAATTAAGATTTTAGAAGCAAACATATCAAAAAGGGAAATATTCTTTCAAATTCTTAGACGAAAAATAAAAAGAAAAACAAAGAATAATAATTATGGGTTTTGTTTATTGTGCAAAGAACGGCAGTAATTACTTGCATGGTGGGGCCACAGCGACACTTGTGGACTTGGTTGGCTCAGCAGCAGTATACACTGTTGGAGCTCCATTCACTGGGGTTTCAGTTGAGATAAACGTCACTTTCATGGATGCTGCATATGCTGATGTGAGTATGCTCTCCTGCATTTACTTTACTAATTTTCGCGTTCTCTAAACCACTCACTAAAGTGTTTGAAAAGAAAACACTCGCATGGTTCACTTAAAGAATTTACTGGCATGTGCACATTTCCATGAGAGGAAGACAAAATTGCCCCTTGATTGATTAACATTGTAAAACATAAATTCCTCGTAAAGCATCCATTGTTTAATTATATATAATTTTGTTATTCTTCAATCTGTTTATGCCTTTTTGATTGTGTTTGTAATATGTTGTATTCCAAGTTGTACTCGTTTTTCTATGTATGTGTGTGTGTGTGTGCAGTAGATAGACAGTAATCTGAATAGTAAGTGTCTACCATTGCTACTTGTTGCTCAGGATGGTGTGTTTCTAACAGATTATTGGTTTTCTTCACACTATGCTTGCAACTTTGGAGTTTCTGCTCAAATTGCCTATTGATTTGTTGAGACATTTTCCACTACTTGTTGAGTTTTAATCAGTTTCATAGCAGACAATATCTTGAATAAACAAACTGGGTATTGGAAATTAACTTTAGGCAAATTTGGGATCTTTGCTAGTGTTAGATCTTGAAATCATTTTAAATTGTTGTTATTGAGGAGTGAACCTGATGTCTAGACTAATGTGAGCATAAGAGAGCTGGTGACACAAAAGAAGTACTAAAGGGCATTGGAGTTTACTTTGACATGCCTTCTTCGATGGTCAAGTTAGTGAGAAAAGCTTAAAGAGGTTTGAGAGAGTGTGTGGAAAGTAGCTAGAGAGAGACTCTTACCACAGATGACCCTTTTATACCTTTTGCAGAGCCTTGAGCATCTAGTGTGGATGGTTGGAATCGTGCCTCTTGTCTTAATCATAATGGGGTACAAGATGCAATACGAGAGATCAAAAGAGGGCCCTTTTAGGGCCTTGGAATGGCCGTATGAACCCACCTAACTGTTATAGTGTCCCCCTGAAAAGAATGTTATAAGTTAGTCAGAATCTTTGTTTGCTGGACATTTCTTTTTTCTGATGATCAATGTGTGCTTCAATTCATCAACAGGAAATTAATGTGCTTTCTTTTACAGCTTTTCTTGGTGTTTTTAGAATACACTTCTGTAAAATATGAGCAGAAATTTATTGTGATGGTCTTCCTTAAGCCTGGACAAGGCTGAAAGAGAAAGGAAAAAAAAAATAGAGGGGGGGTGGGGAGGGGATAGGGTTTTACTCCAAGCAGTGCTCCTGGTAATGTAATTATGAATTTCACAGTGCAGGAGTTAAAGAAAATTCCACTAGAGCTACCTTTCTTTGTACATCTAGTTATTTCTTGGAGATACCCTTTCTTCCTTGCATCTTGTAAGTAATATATCATGTCTAAATTTATTAGTTTTGCTTTTCAAGTAACTAAACAACTGTAAGACTGGATACTTGTATTTCCTTCTTTTCTTTTGCCTTCTTTGAATGAAAAAAAAGTTTATTTGCCTTTTTTGGGAGCTTTAAACAGTGGAGGTGGGAAAGTGCAATGTTTCTGATTTAGAGTTCTTGGCAGCAACCTTTGTGAAATGATATATAGTCCATTTATGAATGTGCTATGTTGTTGCTTATGTAGGAAGAAATTGAGATAGAAGCAAGGGCTTTGCTTGTTGGGAAGGCAGTTGCTGTTCTCAGTGTTGAGTTTAGGAAGAAAAATACTGGGAAAATATTCGCTCAAGGCCGTCATACAAAGCACCTGTCTCGCCCAAGTAAAATGTAATGACATTATAATTTGAATAACCATCCTCATAATTCCTCCATTAGGAACGAATAAAATGCATTGGTTCATGCGTATTCAGAATGCACTATTTATTCATGCTTTTATTAGACAACTCTAGTTGAATGTCATGTGAAGTTACTTGCTGTGCTTCCTCTATATTGTCACAACTTGCCTTGCTTTGCCTGGTTGTTTAAACTGTCTGCCAGCGTGAATCGCTGAATGACATATTGGATCTTTATACTAGTTGATTTTTCTTTCTTCTATTTTGACATACTAGCCAATTTTGTTATGCATGAAATTGCCAAGTTGATGGATATTAAACAACTTAAAATACAATAGTTTTACTGGGATAAATATCCCTAGTAGGACTTAAACTTTGATTCAAATGTCTGTTTAAGGTTTGACCTTGTCAATATTGAATTGGAATGAAAGAACGATTGCTTACTTCATAGCAATTGATCGAGTACAGAAGCAAGCCTTTTATACTTGCTTGTTTTGTACACTGTTAGTAGAAGCTAATCCTACCTAAAAAGCTTAAAACTCAGTAACAGAGAAGAATTAAATAATTAATGAGTTTATATTTGATACTGAAATTTTAAATTTGTTTTTTAATAACACCTTTTGATGTCTTGACAGTGTATAGATTAACAAAATCAGAATCACGTGCCTTTGTGCTAATTGACCTTCTATTAAAACAGAGGGAGATGGACATCAGTGGTTGTTGCTGGCCCATAATTACAACCAAAGTATCTGTGCAAGAGCCAAGATAATTTGGGACAAGACAAATTTGGCATCGGAGGAGTATATATTCTTTTTAATATAATTGTAGCAAAAAGTAAAAAAAAAAGTATATTCAAATAAAAATATTATTTTTACTATACTTAAAAAATTAAAATATGAATGGTTAAAGTACCTATTTAATCCATGTATTTAACTATTTTTTTCAATTTAGTGCTTTTACCTAAAATCGTGATAATTTAGTTTATTGGTTTTGAAAATTGTTTCAATTTAATCTTTCTAACAATTTCGTTCAAATTGACTGTTATGGTGTTAACGTGGTATCAAATGCTGATGTGGAATGTGAGATGGGTTTAAGTTGTTGACATGGCACTATCATATTACTATGACAATGTCACATGGACATGCCACATGGCGCTATCAGTCTAACATGTCAATGACGATGTGGCATGTCAAGGTGGAAAAATTTTCCTCTAAAATCAAATTTGGACTGACACAGGAGAGACTTAATTGAATAAAAATTTAAAATACAAAAGTTAAATTAAACAAAAAAATTAATAAGTAAAGGGACTAAATTGAAGCAAAAAAAATATAATGTGACTCACTAATAAGATTGTTTTCCATGAAAACATGGAAGGAAAAAGTTATCCAGCAAACAGATTCTTGGACTAAATAATTATTACAATTATAATTATAATATGAAAGAAGATACATCCACCTATATATATACATATATATATGCAAATCCATTTACAAAAGTTATACAGAGGCTTTGTAATCCAAACTATATTTGCACAAAACTATTTTGTAGCAACATTCCTATGCAATATGTGCCATTTACAAAAAACAAGCCATCTATAATTATATAATATTGATAAACATGGCAACCACCTATAACTATATAATAATTTTGGCAAAAGCATGGCAACAACAAGTACCCAACATATAAGTACCTAGCATATAAATAATTAAAAATCATAGCAAACTTTAGTCATTTTTACTGCTTTCTTGAGTGGGTAGCTCAACTTCAAATTGTGATCTCCTAGGTTGCCTCTGTTTGGCCATTTCCTGTAGCAATATAAACAAAAACAATGTCAAAATTTCAATTTAGTTCACCTATGAAACATGACAGAATGCTAGTGTAATTTTACTCACTATTAGTTGCCTGCTAGATATGAATGATGTTGAATCCCCATGGCCAGTTACAACAACCAATCGATTTGGTCTTCTAACCTATATAATAAATTGACATAATAAACATAAACTAAATTTACTCACTTATATAATATGATACCAAAAGATAAACTCCAAATAAATCAATTGGAATAAATAATTAATAAATAAAGCTAGAAGATACTGACTTGCTTCACTGGATATTTGGACCTATTATGTCCTTTTTAATGATAAATATTGCATTTTATCTTCCTTTCGACCGTAGACGTCTTTGTTTTCTTTGAGCCTTCATTTGGTTCTCTTCTCCTCTGTTTCTTGGGTCGTCCTGCAAATCTTTTCACATATGGAGGTAAGACAACCTCCACATTCCACTAAAACTAAAACATTGGCCCTCTCACAATATGGAGCTATTAGTCATATGCTTCTATATATTCACTCTTTTTAAAAGAGTTTGCCAGATACTTTGTAGGGTCTTCTCTCTCATAGTAGATAGCGTTAATGGCATGCTGATATGGCACTCCACCAATGTCCCAAGCTTTACAGGTACATGTCCCATCCCGTAAACATACTGTGTAACTCTCTTTAACGTATTTTTTTACATCTTCTCATAATACTTCATAAAGATAGGAACTATTCCAATCCACATCCCATTTAGTTGCCAACCCTTTATACTTCTCAAATTTTTTGAGTATACGAGGACCAAAATCAGTTTTCCACTTCATCCCCTCTAGCTTGTTCTACACCAATCTCCTCATCATATAAAGCCTGATATCTTCGAGCATGCTGATTATAGGCTTGCATCTAGATTCTATTATAACTTTGTTAAATGTCTCGCACATATTGTTATTGATGATATCACACTTGACGAAATCAGAGAAATATGCTTGACACCAATGCACAAGATCTTAGTTCTCAAGTAAGTGGTTGTGTGCAGCCTCATTCATGGACTTGAGAAGCTCCATTTGCCTCTTAAACTCCAGTTGGTTAGGAGATCTAGCATAGCGCCAAAATTAGTATTTCAATTCTTTATCTCTAAACCTCTTCCCCAACCTCGAGTAGATGTGTCATGCATAGCTTTGTTGTTTAACATAATGAAGCAACTCATATAATAGAATCCATATGCAAGCCTATAATCAGCATGCTTAAAGATATCAGACTTTATGTGATGAGGAGAATGGAGTAGAACAAAGCAGGGGGGATAGTTAGGAAATTAGAGAGGTATAGGGGGCTAGCAGCTAAATGGGAGGTGGATTGGAATGGTTCCCATCTTCATGAAGTATTATGCGAAGATACTAAGAAGCATGTTAGGGAAAGCTACACAGTATATCTATAGAATGGGATATGTGCCTATAGAGCTTAGGATATCAGTGAAGTGCTATGCCAATATGCCATCAATATTATCTACTATAAGGGAAAGGACCTTACAAAGTATCTGGCAAATTCTTTTTAAAAAAAGTGAATATCTGAAGGCATATAACCATCAGCTTTATCTCGTGAGAGGGCCAGTGTTCTAGTCTCAACAGAATGTCGAGGTTGTCATACTTCCATATGTGAAGAGATCTGTTCGATGACTTAATAAGCAGAGGAAAAAAGAACTAGATAAAGGTTCGAAAAAAATAAGGATGTCGAGGGTCAGAAGGAAAATAAAATGCACTGTGTGTCGTAAAGGAGGACATAATAGGTTCAAATGTCCAATGAAGAAGGTTGGTATGTTCTAGCTTTATTTATTAATTATTTATTATTATTAGTTACTAACTTTTTTCTAATTTTCATGTCTAGGGTCAGATAAGCACACAGAAAACTCACAGTCAAAAGAGAAAATCTTCTATCACTGCTCGTGCACCAAGTGAAGCTAGTATTGCTACTGCACCAAGTTAATGTGGTGTTAATGTCCCAAGTGAAGGTGCTGCTTGTGCACCAAGTCAATTTGCTATTGGCGGTGCAACAAATGAATTTGCTGCTAGGTGCAAGTCAAGGTGCTGTTGGGTCAAGTGCTTTCACTACAAAAGTGAGGGTTGATAGAAATGCCCAATTTGCTATTGCAAGTGCTGAAGGCTTTAGTTATGATGATGTTATTGGCCCAAAAACTAAATTGAAGCACGCAAGCCCTAAGGGAAAGTAGACATTAGCTTTTGGAGGCCAAACCAAATCTGCCTCAATACTTACATCTCCTCCAAGAGATTTTTTTTTTTATAAATGTGAGCAAAGTTAGTCCCTTTTCATGTCATGTTATGTTAATTAATAATTATTTATATTTAATTGATTTGTTTGAAGTTTATCTTTTGTTGGCATATTATATAGGTGAGTAAATATAATTTATGCTTATTATGTTGATTTATTATATAAGTTGGAAGACCAAATCAATTGATTGTTGCAACTAGTCATGGGGATTCAACATCATTCATATCCAATAGGTAGCTTATAGTGAATCAATTTAAATTCAGATGAACTGGTGCAAATATTTCAGTTCCGACCAGCTTTATCATAATTTATTATTTTCATAGTAAAAAATAAATATTTTTATTACAAAACCACGTGTCGTATGAGGCAAATATTAATTATGTTCCACATCACGTGGGGTGGCGTGGCGTGGAGTGGTGTGGTGTGCCGCCTGTCTTGAAAAACTTGAGTTGATGGGAGTTCGGCAATCGTTTGAGACGGGGCAGCCAAATAGAATGGACTTGGAAACAGTGAAGAAATGCTTGGAGAAAGGAAGTGGCGACGACGACGACAACAACGCCCCAACCATCCATGGCTTCCCTTCCAGATTCTTCGAAAATTTCATTATGGAAGGCCTTCGCGTGGACCTCATTGAAAAGGGTCGCCTCCTTTGCTCTATGAAAGTCCCTCCTCGTTTGCTGGTTGGTACTGTCAATTTCAATTGATTAGAAATCTGAATTTCAATTATTGATATTTGATTGATTTGGGTTTTTTTTTTGTTTGGTGGTTAATTGTGCAAAAGAACGCTGGTAATTTCTTGCATGGTGGAGCCACGGCATCCCTGGTGGACTTGATTGGCTCAGGGGTTATATACACTTATGGAGTTAGTTCCAGCGGAGTTTCTGTTGAAATTAATGTCACTTACTTGGATTCTGCTTATGTTGATGTCAGTGAATTTCTCTTACTTTTGTCTTCTATCCAATTTCTTCCCAAAGTAGCTTATGTTGTTACCTTCTTTGCTTGACTTGCATCTTTGAATTAAAATGAGTTTTCTTTCCTTTTTTTTTTTTCCTAAAATGAAAATAGGAAATTGATTCATTATCCATTTGCTCCACCTTTTCTACGCCTCTCTGAGTTTTGATCAGTTTTGTAGTAGGAATCTTAGAATAAATTAATGGGTTGATATTGGTTTGGAGGTCTTAGTAGTTGTTAAATCTTGAAAATCATTGTAGATCATGTGGCCCAAGTTAACTGCAATCTGCTTCCCAGAACTATGCCTTTTCTCAAGTGCATTTCAGAAATTTCTCCTTTTTTTATGATCAAATATGTGTTTGAAATTCATCAAGTTGAGATTCGTATCTATTCTTGTTCAATGTTACTTGTTAATGATACAGGGGACTTCATTTGTATTTATCCTAATTGCATTTAATAAAAAAGAATGTACTCCGTCTGATTATTATGAATTATCTTAGAGTTATTGCAGCCTTAACATTTTCATTAGTTTTGGTCTTACACTGTTGTCCTTACCAATGATGTGTGATCTGGAACATTAGAAGATATCAAGAATCAGATGCTCTGATGGTGGTTAACATGAAATATGCTTTGAACTTTATTTGCTAGTGCATTAGAAAAAGAAATCTTTGATCCGGAACTGCACCAATTAATGAGATTGCATGATTTATTTGCTGAATTTTTACAACTGATTTAGATCAGTATGCAGGTTAGCAACCTTTATGATATTTTGTGTTTCCTGGTGGTTTTCTCTTTGTCTAGTTGCTTTGAAAGGAGTTCAGTTTCAGTTGAATTTGTGATCCATGAGTATGAATACACCATAAAGAAACTTCTAATTGATTATAGGGCTGCATGTAGTTCAATCTTTCTTTCCCTTCCATTTCATTTTTCTTTTGCCCGTGCTTTAATGCCCTAGTGTTATTCCCCATTGACAGGGGAAGGGGAAGGGAGTTGCTTAATCTATAATTCTGTGTGCATTATTATGTAATTACGAATTTTAAAGCGCGAGAATAAAATTACCAATAGAGCCACCTTTATTTAATTTCCTTCTTTCTAGAGAGACATCTACTTGAAGTACTATGCAATATGATTTTATTCCTTACTTGTTTATCAATTTGCAATTCGAAATATTACATGAGCATTTGACCTCACCTTGTAGTTGTATGTTTCTCTCTTTTTCTTTTTTTTTCTTGTGATGTGGTTTATTATTTTGTAAAACTGGGCAAAGGGTTTCGGAAAAGGAATGCTTCTAATTTATCTTTCTTTGCTGGAATTTATGTAGAAATTATATAAAGGCATTTCTGTTGTTTTTTCTTTGGGAAAATAAAGTTCCCTTTCATCTATAAAATGAAGTTATATTTAAGGGCATTTATTGATGTACATATTGTTGTTGCTTATGCAGGAGGAAATTGAGATAGAGGCTAGGGCATTGCGTGTTGGGAAGAGTGTTGCTGTTGTCAGTGTTGAATTTAGGAAGAAAGAAACTGGAAAAATTGTTGCACAGGGGCGTCATACTAAGTACCTCACTGTCCAAAGTAAAATGTAAATGACATTTATAGCTGAATGGTCATCATCACATAATTCCTTTATCCTGAACGAACACTGTATTTTCATATCAATTTAATTCACAATTAAGACATGCTTTTAATCAGACAGGCCAGTAGAATTTCATTTGGAGTTACTAGTTGCCTGCTCCTGATTTTCAGTGCCTTGTATTGCATGGTTGTCTGAAACTGTATTTCTATTAGAATTTGATATCAGTTCCACCGGACTTGGATATTTTCACTTGTTGATTTTCAATTTAAGGTTTTCCTCTGCTGCATGTGCGCATGTCATAGTACTTTATTGTCTAGACCATCAAGAACGAGTGTCTGCCTTTGATTCGTTAAGAAACAAGAAAACACTATAACGTAGAAAAATGCAATTGATCATCTCGCACTGAATTAGCATATAGTCAGATCTATCTAAGGTTTTTTCTTTTTTTTGATGAACAATCTAGCAGAACTGCAGGTTAATACTCTACCCAAGGTTTGATGCAACAGGTGAACAAGTTGAACTTGTCATCTTTATTGGTGTACATCCATTGTTCACATGTAACATATACTCATGGTTGGAGTCTTGGTGCTGGAGATGGATCCTGTGCTTCTAACAGGGAAGTTATTTAGTTAATGGGAGAAAAGGTTGTGGCGTGGAGCACATTCCCAAAGCCTACAGATGTTTGATGGGACAAGAACTGAGTAAGAGCAAACAAGTTGAGGTTTAAGGGTGACGGAGGGCCTAATGTCCACTTAAAGCTTCCGTTGCCATTGTCCTAATATTCTGGTTTAAGGGTAGTGCTTCTGGCATTGATAAAACATCTGGGTAAAATGCAGCTTGCAGTTAGTTATTTTCAATCGCATTTTTCACTTCTTGAAGAGCACAAGTTCTGATAAGTCATAACTTGAAAATGAGGTTGCAAGGAACGAAGTCCTGCTAATACAGAAAAACAGGTAGCCAGTGACTTCTTTCATTATAAGAAGATAGGCAATATATATGTATGTGTATATATAGCTCAAAAAAGTTAGGTTTTTAAGTCATTCAATTTTCTTAGATCCATTAGCCATCACTCCTAGTGCATCGCCCAAATTAATTGTCCTTCTCATGGTTCTCCTCCCGATACCTCCATTGCCCGTCCTCATCATCGCAGCAAATTCCCCATAATCTATTTGTCCATCCTGTACCAAAGCCTTCATTAGCATTAAGTAATTGGAAAATAGAGTCACTAATTAATTGGGGTCTTAAATCTGAAAACCCTAACAACTACAGCACAATGATGGGATGGGAGAGAGGATCATGCTAATACAGATCAATTTTTACATTTCAAGTAAGGAAAAGGAAAAAGAAATAGAAAACTATCTAATAATCTTCTACTTGGGTCAATAGACATTAAAAAGCTATTGGTTAGCACCAAAAGGAATGAGTGTGCTTTCAAACTGTTCCAATGTACATAAAGCCAAGGGATTCTTTTTCTAGAAAAATGTGATAACTAGAAAGATACTATGGAATACAAGTAGCCAGCAGTAAAGTTCAGAGAGAAGAAACTTACATTATCTTGATCAATTTCTTTGATCATCTCATCAAGATGGACGTCGCTTAATCCAAACTCTTTGCAGGCTTGTTGAAGCTCATCAATAGTTATGTATCCACTGCCATCTTTGTCAAAAAATGCGAAGGCTGACACCAGATTCTCCTCCCTCTCCAGTTTATTCAAGTGCACTGTAGCAGCAAGGAATTCACCATAGTCAATTGTCCCACTGTTGTCAATATCTGCCTACAAAAGGAACGTGAATGTTTGTCCAATTAGTGAAGATCAAATAACTACAAGAGGAGTACAAAAAGAAAGTCAGACTTATTAGATCATTGATGGGATTTCTTACTGCATCCATAAGATCTTTGATCTCAGATTCCATAAGTTCAGAACCCACTCGCTTCAAGCCATCTTTTAATTCTTCAAATGTTATTGTTCCACTGCTGTCAGTGTCTATCATTTTGAATAACTCTTTTAAACCACCAATTTCTTCTTCTGAAAGCCTTTCTGCTATAACCTAACATTGAGGATGAATGTTAGTAGAAAATATGCACCAAATGGAGAGAACATGAGAAAGACAAAAAATGTTGCAATAATAATATTTACCAAAAAGGTTGACTTGAAAGAACAGATGATACACGAATAGGCCTCACATGGTACAAAATAGTAACAGGATAACATGAATGTGAATTTGCATTTAAGGTCTCTAAGAAGCTACCAATTCAAGATTTAGACACAAAGGTTACGGATTATAACATGGAAAATAAGAGATTCATTTGATCTCCTATTCCAGACTGAAACTGAGCAATCTAAGGCTGTCAAGATAGTTTGGGTAACCTGAAGATAGTTTGTCGATGGCGATACATATTTAAATTTCTTAAGCAGAGATCATATAGAGGGATGGGCAGGGGGAGAAATAGTTGAAATCTCTCCTTCCTCCTTTTTATTATGTAGCCTAGGTGTCATAAGAATTTATAAAAAGGAAATACAAGAAGGCACACTGTTCCACAAGATTGATGGCACCAATAAATCAACAATATTTCATAAAGAAAAGTTGCTCAACATCAACAAACGTACCACACCCATAAAACTGCAATATTTTTATTACATCGAACAAGGATTCTTTGAAAGGACTCCATCACTTTTGCATGGAGAATCACCACAAGGTGAGACATCATCTTATGAGAGCCTCACTGGTAAAATAGACAATCACTTTGGAGAAATAGGTTGCAAGCAAGGAAATAAAATGTAAAGCTGCCCTTAAAAGATTAATTTGCTTTTGAATTAATTAAGGAGGTTTGTAAAGCATAGTAAGTCATATTGATTTGTTTCCCTGCCTTTGTAAGATGAAATCGGAGTTAACGGTTCAACTTGGACCAATTAATTGACCACATTTTTGGTGTAGCTAGAAGTGTATGAGGAAGAATACATTTAACTCTAGTCAACTAAAAAGAAATTTCTATCTAGCAGAAACAAAGTTTGTTCAATATAAATATTGTTTACATTCATGTATAAGAATTGAATCCTACATTAGAAGTTAAAATTATATTGAATGCTTGAAATAATGTGGTTTATATAAATCCAACAGCTTACTGTTTTCATTAAGGTGGCAATATATTTACTGAAGGCTTCAAGAGAAGCTACCTTTTAAATTGAGGTATAAATGAAATTTGTGCAAGCACTATAACTCTGAAACAATTAAAACATTATTTTTTTTAAATCACCAATGTTTCTGAATGAATAAAAATAGATCGTGACAAATGATGTTCAGTGTTGTTCAGAGCCCTTACTTCTATCAAAGAACTCACATGTACTACATCCTAGGTACTGAGGACACCAGAAAAATTGATATCATGAAAATAGATCTTGACAAATGATGTTTGGAGTTGTTCAGAGCTCTTAATTCCATCAAAGATCACACATGTAATCTATCCTAGGTACTGATGACACCAGAAAAATTGATATCATGCTTCTAATCTTGAATACATATATACAAACATGTTTTCATTTTTCAAATGTAAGATGATCTGAACATGACTTCTGTTTAAGGCATAAGCGAACAATTAAGTTTAGCTTACATAACCAATGAGTTTGGGCCTTTCAGATCAGCCAGCAGCACAAAAGAAACCAGAAATATGGCTAAACTCTAAACTCTGTTCGATTAGGTTAAAAGACAGAAATTATGACTAGGCTCTTTAGTTTAGATATTCAATACAGGGCTGGTAATGCTGCATTAAACCCCAGCAATTTTCATACTCTTGGTTGAGCTTTCTTATGTAAACTTGGCAAACTAGCTTAAGCCTAGTCATACAAGCCTCAAAAACAAGGCGATGTTACACTTGGTTGTGTGATCAAGTACGAGTAGAAGCTCACAAACATGCTAGAAATCAGGTTATTTAGATAATTTAGCCAAGCTCATTATGAATGTTTGGAATTTGAATCAAGAAAATTTAGGGCATTTATGCATTTATTGTAAGATTTTGACTCCCAGTCAAGTGAGTTAACTTCTATGTTTGAGGAAATGGGATACAACAATCTCATCTAAAATTTAGAGGTCATTCTGAAGATTTCTCTTCATAAATTTTCTAAGGAACAGTGACTGAGAAAGAAAGAAAGACAAGACAGAAAAAAGGAGAGAGTTCTGAGTGCGTAAATCTGCTGCTCCCCTGTTTATAGATTTTGAATTGTGAATAAATGCAAAGTTCAAAATGACAAATATTTGTCCCTCATCTACTAGCAGCCATGTTGGTTTGTGATCAAAGCGTGCATTTCTATTAATAAAAATAAGAAAAATTAAATGTGATATTAATCACACTTCAGCATGCCTGATTCCAGCTGCCTTAATAATATATGTATAGTAGATTTTCCTTACACCAGCCTTTTCTTTATTTCCTTTTCAAGTAAATCTTCACCAGTTCTTTGTGCATATGGTTTTCATGTTAAAATACAAGATTTCACAGAATTATAAATAGACAACTCAACTTAATATTGCAATCTACAGTAAAACTTCTCAACAACTCAAGTTGAGTGTCTGTTTGAGCTGAACCTAAGCTTTAACATGCAATCCTCATGCTAAGGTTGGTTTTGATCTCAAGATTGGTTAAAGGTTACTTTCCAGGCCTGAACAAGTGAAAGTGACCTTGTTATAGCATGTTCTCAACCACACTTTTCTACTCCCACACTTGGAAATACAGGTAGTGTACTTCCATCAGAGATTATCTAGGAATCATTCTATTGAGCATGCAATAATACTTCATGGGCCTTGCTCATCAGCATGTACACCAAAGATGTTGGCAGAAATATATGACATATAATGTAGTTATTTATTTTCAGGTCAACAATCCCTTTGAAATCTTTGAAAATATGTAATGTGATGGTAACAAGTAATCAACTGTTCAAGAAAACCATATTAGGCATGTGGTGGCCTGGTCTTATAGTTCGAAAGCATTATGCTGTAGAGTCATACCTGGAGTTTTGTGTAACTAGGAAGTAGGCACAGTATCCCATGTTGTTCTCGTCAAGTTCAATCTAAATGGAATGGTATCACATCTAATGTGGCTTTTATTTAAGCAAACTTAACTCTAATCCTATAAGCACATGATAATACTAGCTTAGGCACATATTAGATAGATAATATTCACAGGATTTTTACTTGTATCATTATAGTAATGTCGCAATTTCTCCCAAACTAAAACTAGAAAGGTCATACAAATAGTTAAGAAAATTTGCTCATCGGCCAAGAAATAACTAAAAGAATTTTTGCAGAACAAATAATCTTTCCCTGGTCTTGCTTTAAGCCTTTTACATAAGAGAAATTCAGAAAGGTTATCAGCCAATCAAAACAAATAAGAAAACAGCATCAGCAAACCAAATATCTATACTGCATACAGTATTCCAAGTATGCAAACTGCAGAGTGAAGCTAATAGGAACTAGCAAAATTACTCCAAGAAACATTATGACTTAACAACTATGGGCTCTAAATGCTTAACAAATCAATAAATCTCATATTGAACCCAACTAATACTGATGCAATGAATATTTTCCAAATGAAATTGAGAAAGGAAATGTTAAATGTGTAATCATGTGTAGAATGAACACTAAGAAGCTTTACTAGTCCAAGAACTACAAGTTATCTAATGAAAATACATATTATGCATTAGTTTACTTACTCGCAAAGCCATCTTCTTAAGTTTGTTCATTGCTGAGAACTGCTTCAGGCGTGACAATACTGCAGAATCAAGAGGTTTATCAGGTGCAATTGTGTCATCTACAATCCATGGGTGACCTGGTACAAATGGTTAACACCATAAGGTTGTGAGAAACATCAGCAGTAAATTTCCTAGCAATTCTTTTATATTATGTTTGGAAATATGAATTTGGGAGAAAGGACTTGGATTTGGTTTGTATACAAAAATGGTGAGGATGAATGCAAACATTATGTAAAAAATAGTTAAGATTCAATGCACCAATGTATTTGAGAGGGCACAACAAGATAAATTTACATTTCCTATTTCATTTAGGTATTTCAACTTTGTCATTAAGTGGAGATAAAGGAAATCTATGAATTGAAAATAATCATTAAAGTCAAGTTCTCATGAGTTCTATCACACAATTTAAACTAATTTCATCCAAATCCCTTCTTCCAAATTCATGATTTCAAATTATTTTTATCTGACAAAGTCCTTAAATTTTCTACTTTTATGCAGCAAAAGAAACTTACATAAGACTTGATGAGCAGTTAGTCTTCTCTTTGGATTGCGGTCAAGCATTTTTCGTATGAGATCCTTAGCACTTTCAGAAATAGCAGGCCATGGTTCTGAATCAAAATCAATTTTCCCTTGTAAAATCTGCCGGAAGATCCCCATTTCAGTTTCTGGAGGTAACAGCATTAGTTATCAGATTTGAAAGCATAAGAAAGAATTTCCCTTCTAAAAATCCTAAACCTTATTCTACCAGAAACATGTGCACTCAAAAATCACTACCTGCCCAAAATGGAGGCACCCCACTTAATAATATGTACAGAATAACACCAGCACTCCACACATCTGCTTCAGGTCCATAATGCTTCCGTAACACCTCTGGTGCAACATAGTATGGACTCCCAACAACATCACAAAAAGATTCGCCTACAAAGAGATCAAGGAAATTATAAGTTCCTGAAAAAGAGTGTCGCAAAAGAACAACTTAATAAGACAAGCTTAAATGTTTATGACACTCATAGCAACTTTAAACAAGGTGGAAAAGAAACCGCAGATCTCAAAAATCTTTTCCCCATAGCAAAAACATTACACAGCCAAAGAAAAAATGATGTTAAACCAAACCCGATATGATACAGGGATTTTCCTGCAACATTTTCTGCAGCTTATCATTGCAGTTAATGACACAAAAATATTAGTAACAGTAACTTTCTGGGTTTTGCTGGTTCTGAAAGGTCCCCGCAACATGCTAAGTACTGCCACCCCCATGCCCTCATGCATATGCGCATGCATGCCATTCCTCTTTCCTTGGACCCTAACAAAGTCAAGCAAGCCTTAACTGTAAAACTAGGTAGCCTAGCAATAGAAAATCTTTTCATCCAATTTGAACTATTAAAGGCCATACTCGACAAGTTAAATTACTTTACTGCAGTACTTAAGTCTGTTTCATTCCAGTTAACAGTCCTTTCCCTTTTGTCTTTTAAAGTATTTAGCTCATTCAGTCTTTCCACCGTATGTATGTCTCGGCATGTATTGTACACAACTAAAGCATCTAAGGCACCTGACTACTTCCACCTCCCACAAGTCAGTTCATTTGTCAGATTCCCTTTTCTCCTCCTACTGCCACACCTTAATGTTACTAACCCCCATCTCCCCATTGCTCTTGCCTCCCTTCTCACTAAGGAAAAGTATTGCTGTAAGCAGCTAAACTTATCAAATGGCATTCCAGCTGATACTAAGCTGTGTAAAATCACACTGCTCATGTCACTGAAAACCAAATTGATGCATTTGATTATTTCTGGACATGCCAAATCAAAAGGCGAACCCTTGCCCCACCAAAGAAAGCCCATAGCATAGCAGGGAACCAGTGAGAAATAATCTGAGGGGAAAAGATTTAAAAGAATAAACCTGGCTTGTAGAAAACAGACAATCCAAAATCAGTGGCCTTGAGGGCAGCATCTTCGTCAACAGTATCAAACAAGAAGTTCTCAGGCTTAAGATCTCTGTGCATGACCCCAAGAGAATGGCAAGTCTCAACAACTCCAACAATGGTTTTGATCAACTTGGCAGCCTCCCTCTCACTGTAATGACCTTTCTTGACAATCCTGTCAAAAAGTTCACCACCCTCACAGAGCTCCATGACCAAGTGCACAGAAAGCTGGTCCTCGTAGGTGCCCCTGATCCTGACCACATGGGGGTGCTCCGAGAGGTGGTGCATTATCTGGATTTCTCTCCAAACGTCCTCGTAGTCCTCTGGGCAAACAGTTTCCGCTTTGGATTGACTTGCAGGCGTACTGCTGCCCTGTTGGCTTGTGGTGCACAGGTATGTGGTTCCGAACTGGCCTGCCCAAGCGTCTTCCCTAGGCTGTAATGATCCGCCAGGCTTGGGTCGTGTAGGGAAGGACCCTCGTGGGTTTTGTCCCTGAGCTGGTTTTGCTCATACCTCGGTTTTCTTTCTTCGTTTTACTCTTTGAACCTTGAGTGAGATGCAGAAAGGGAGATAGAAAGAGAGAGAGAGAGAGATTGTTTTCACTGTCAATATCAAATCATCTTTTATTAATCTTAGGAAATTATGCTTATGTATGGATGGAGAATGGAGATTAGAGATTGGAGATGGAGCAAGCAATACTCAAAAAACCTCAAGGGTACAACAAACCTTGACGAGTATGCTACAATCTACCCAACAAAGAGCAAAATCTAATTATATAGATTTAAAAAAAAAAAAAAAGAACGAAAGTCTTTACCCTCTGTCAAGCCATCCAGCCCATTTCTATCTGTGTCCCTGTCTTAGCGTCAGATGCTGATGTTGTACTCCTTATCCTATTACCCCTTCTCTCTTTCTTTCTTTCCAAGATCTATATTTATTCTGTCTAGATTCCCCGGCCTTTTCTCTCTCCTTTTTTCCAATGTGCCACTGCTTTCCCGTTTTAAGCAGATTTATTGAAATACCAGCCCCTGACCCTGACTCTAATTTTCTTTGAGTATTTCCATAAAATAAATATATATTCTTCTAAGTGCAAACTAAGTATTTGACTAAAATAATTAGACTATATACATATAGATATTTATATTTATATACTCTCTCCATTATTCTTTTTATTTATCATGTGAGAATGTCTCAAAATAAATTTTTTACATTATCGAAATATGTTTAACTTTTTTCATATTTTAAATTTGTTATTAACTTTTTTAAGTTTTTTGAGATTAAAAAGTATTATTATACAAAAAAATGGGACCCCTGAGGAGCACGATCGATGCTTCCCTTTTCTTTAATTATTTTAATTTTTTAAATATAATAATAATTTTTAAAATTAATAAAAAATATTTTAATTTTTATTAATACTGTTTGTATTATTGAGATGAAGTGTTTATTTTAAAAATTAATAAATTTATTTAGAAATTTGATTAAAATTTAAAAATTAGAGAATTTTATGCAAGAAGTTAACCTTATTTTGCTCTTGAACTGAAATAGCAAAAGATGACTTGTTGACCCAAGCTTCAGTCCGATTGGTTGAATTCATCTAGCGACAAGAAAAATAATCAAACGCCACCGCTTTGAATTGAAATCCAATGAGATGTATTTTAGCTAGGTGACAGCAACAAGGAGGAACCGGTAGCCATAATAACTACAGCGGGCAGCAAGCAGCAGTGTGTAACAAGTTGTCTCGTCGCAATCTCATCACTGTGTGCCATATGTCTTAGATTGAAATTTGCCACATTTGTTAACATTATATCAGCCGCTTCCCTAAAATCTTGATAAACTTGACTAACAATCATATACACTAATTTTAGAAAAAATACATGGTTGGTTGCTAATTAGTTGTAATAGCTCTCAACCATCTTAACATTTATCAAGTACCATCCATGTATGCAACTGCTTATGCCTTGACCAAAACCGAATCTTAAAGATAATTACAAGATTACATTAGCTCTTGGATTGATTTTTGTCTAAATAACTAAATTAACACATTTTACTTGTCTAAATGGCTAAAACGCGAGCTCTTAAATTCCTCATCAACCCATAATGTTATATTTATTTAAAAAAGATGGGCAGACTTGATTATTTTATGCAAAAAATAAAAATTATGCATTTCGCTTCACCTTCAATTTACAATTTTAATTCGTAAAATAGTGTTTCTACTTTTGTATGACTATCACCTATCTATCCTTATTTGGGTTGTGAGGCATGTAAAACTAGGTTCGAGCACCAGCAAGGCATTGCCCCATCCCCCATTAAGAAACAAAAGCAATCCAATTGGATCTCTAATCATCTCCATGCATATACGTTGATTTCTTCAGCTGCAGTTTTACATCCATTAATAATAGTATCACTGAACAAATAATTAATCCGTAGAACCTGGCCATTTCATAATAAGAATGCAGAATGCTTGTTGTCAGCATCCTGATATTACTTGAAACAATAATAATAATTAAAAAGAAGAAGAAGAAAAAAGGTACATACAATTGAACAATAGCACATTACTTGATAAAAACCACTAAATCAACAACAGTCCACTCCACATTCATATAATTTAATATATACCATTAGGAAAAGAGAGGTCACATAATATAATAAACAAATCCACAGGTCATCAACTAAATTAAGCATATTCCTACAGAAAAATCTATACCTGAAAAAGAGGTCTCTACTCTGTCAGCATGATATTGACAACTTAACTCACAATGTAACTTGTGCTTTGTAGGTTAAGGTTAGATGTGGTGCCACAGGTGTGTGTGAGTCCTATACAAGAGCTAAATCCTACTAATATAAAAGTAACTTAAAAGGGAGAAGAAAAATTAAGAGAGGAAGGCCTGGTGGGGAGGGATTACTCCAGTCATTTGCATCCAAGGATAGTTGAAGAAAAAGAGAGTTTACTGCCTTGATGTCTGCATAGCATTAACTGCACTTGAAATCTCCACCAGCTGTTGTTCAATTTTAGCTTTCCATTTCACCAAGTCCTTCAACATTTCCTGTCAAAGAGGAGATTCCCAAATTGGCCCTTCATTGAGATTAATGCAGAGCTGAGTACGCTCAAATAACAAGCACACATCCACACAATTATATACATATATTACATGTATGTGTTATAGTACATATGCACCATTCCATGCATGTCTTAGTTTAAAAACACTAAATTCTTTGTTTGACATCACCTGAAACAGAAGCACCGAATTATCAAGATCTAACTTTGAATTGGCAGTAACAGAAGAATCAGGTGTCACATTAGCTTGATCTTCCTCTTGCCTCCTAGGCACTACTTCCTGCACATCTCTGTTTATATAACAAAAGAGAGCAGCTCCATCATTAATCACAATATCTTCTCTCCAAAATTTAGTCACACAGCTTTCTTTACCTCTTTATTTTAGCCACATCTTCATTTAGCATGTCCAGCTCTTGAGCACAAATGGGACCTTGAAAGGGGCCATGACCAGGTCTTGACCATGCTAGTGGGGCCAGATCTGCATCTTGAACTGCAGCATCCTGGCCAAAGTTAATCAGCTCTGGGTTCTCTAACCAGGGCGCCAAGTTACCCCCTTGAAAATTGTCCAGGTTGGTGCTCTCCAGCCAATCTTCCCATCTTTCAGAAGCTGAAGGACTAAAGATAGTGCATTGCTTTGATGCCTGCAGACTACTCAATGAATTTGAAATTTCCAGAAGCTGTTGCTCAACTCTAGCTTTCCATGTCACTAGTTCTCTGCACATGTCCTTCTCATAAAAAAAGTTAAAACTAAGAGTTCAGTGCACTTAATTGACAACTTCTAACATAGATGCACACAGCATAACTGTCTTGGTTACAAAGACAAGTTCTAAATAACTTCAAAAGAATACAAACTTCCTACCTTATGTTTAACATCTATCAGATTTTCAGAAATTCAAAGATTAAAGAGAGGATATTGCTATCTTACCTGCATACCATTCAAAGAGCTTGAAAACTCTATCAGGCGTTCATCTGTCTTCACTTTCCATTTCAACAATTCTTTCTGCATTCCCTGTAGAACAACAAAGAATTCAAGAGAACATTACAAAGTTATCTTAATGATATTTCATTTCAAACTGTTTCCTTCATCACCTCAATCGAATTAGCTTGGACTTGTTCTTGCTGCTTGGATACCAGTTCCTCCATCTCCCTATTTACAAAAAATAGAGGGCACCTGAGATGATTAAAACAAGACCATCTATGGCTTCATCTTTAACAAAGTTGTTAATCTAGTTTCCTCACCTCTTCATTTTGGCCATTTCTTCTTTAAGCAATTTGAGTTCTACAGCACAAGCAGAATCCTGTAAGGGGACCCCATCTGGTTTCCGCCAAAATGGGGAGATCCCAGCCTCTTTTCGTATGTTGACCAGGTCAGCACTCTCTAGCCAATACTCCATCACTCCACTAGTGTTGTAACAGCGCCGAAACCGATCAGTGCCACCTGGAGCCACCTTTCCGTCAATGTGTTTCAGCAAGTGGTCCAAGAGCCCAGTATCACCAATATGTTTACGTGCCGCCATTCTCAAAGCTGGCCGAGAAATTGGGTTCTCAAACACAGCCCCTTCAGCCTTCATGACTTCCAACATGCTTTCTTCAGCCAGCTTATATCTTCGAGACATGTACCATATATAAGAAAATATTGCATAAACATTAAGTATAAAAAATTAAGTACAGTGCAATTAAGGTTTTCACCTTTCAGTGGACCACCTCTCCGCAGAATTGTTGCGCTTGTTTTGCTTACACTTGTTAGGACCACTATTTAACCTTTGTTTTCCACATCTCGCAGCTTTTTCCTTTCTAAGTTGGTTGGAGGAAGGGCACTTTCTCTTCCGTACTTCTGGGCATGAAATCAACTCAGGTTTCGCATTTTTTTTATCATCTTCATCATATTCTTCCTCAATTATGGCAGAAGATTGTTTGGCAGTGCTATCTCCTCGAGAGCCCACAAATTTAACTTGCCTGCAGACACCCCACTCTGCCATCCCAAGACGCTTCAGCTCAAACCAACAAAACCCTTTCTTAGATGTTTCAGCTGCCCCCTCACAACTTCTGTACAGTTCAGAAGCACCTACACGTACAAACAACACTAAGAAATATGACTGATGCAACCAACAGTTTTTCATGAACATGAAACGCCACAGAGAATAGAGATGTACATAAAATCCAAAATATCAACATCCTAATTGCCAAAATGAACTGCCGAAAAATTATAATGCTTTTCCCAGTTCTTATATCCTTATCAATTGCTCACATCTTATCAAAAAAGATTTGAGCCATTTTTTTAAAGTCACATTGCAAAAACAGCCCATATGTGTCTTACCCATAATTATGAGAATCGCTATTCATAATATCAGATAACTACTATATTCTCATCCATGATCAGTCCAAGTAACACACAGTGTTCTCTATCAGACTCTGCTTCTAGTCATCTAATCCTAACAGCAACCTTAATAATCTAGCTGCCCAAAAAGTATTTGTGACCAAAAAATCACCAAGCTTTATAAAAATTTAAAAGCACCATATCTTTAGTTCTCCATACCTCAAATAATAGATCACTTGCCCCAGATGTCTTTATGAATCACTGCTTAAGTTGCTCATCCCCATATTTCAAGCCAAAAATTTGATACTCAACACTTTGATGCAGGAGCATGCAGGAAGCTATTTAAATTAGTTAGTTTGAAATGTTATTTCAGGTTTCACTGTT